ATCTTAAAGGGTTAGCATACGTTTAATGTGTTTTTTTTCAATATTTTTTTTTATTTTAAATTATTTATGGTATGACAGTATCTATGACTGTGCTTTTATTCTAAACAAAAACGCTTATTTCAACGTTTTTTCTATTTCAAAACATTGCCACGTGTGAATGTTTATAAACACCACCAACATAAGCACAACACTCGCATGAAAGTAATCCTAATTGACACTTGATGAAAGATCCGATTTGCATATCAATACGACAAAGTTTACGTAATTGCGGTACTCATTTCACCCAGCCTTCCGCTTTTACACCCACAGCTTATTGCTTGATTTCCGACCGGAAACCGACAGCATTTTAATTGCTCTTTTTTTCGCTCGCTTGCTCATTGAAAACATTGACCGCTCGCCAAAACACTGATCACACATGAGTAGTCGAAATGGTGGTTTTTCAAATCTAATAGCTGCATGACAACCAATCCTCAACGCAACTAATTACTTAACTAGGACCTCTTGTTACGTGTTTTGGGTGCTTGTCAGTAAATGTAATATTTTATTTCACTCTGGGTCACCTTATTTCACAACTAACAAAGAAAACTGATTCGCCGTGGACTCAGCTTAGTTTTTCTTCTTTCTGAGCTGAGGTCAAATCCCCTCTGTTAGTCAAAATATGCCGATGTTTTTCAGTGAATAATTTGCCTAATAATAAGCCTGTCGCAGAAAAAAAAAAAAAACTATGTGAATCGAAGACGGAGATTGGATGGTACGACGACCCTTCAATTAGCATCAAATATGCTTTGTTACAACATCATTGATTTGCTGAAAGTCACCTGATCGGAGCACGACCTGGGTCACAGAACCATATTTGTCCGTATAAAATTATCAACAGGATTTTGCGAGAGAACCACACCCACATTTTCAACCATTTTCAGAGCGGAAGTTGCCAATAAATGTCGAAAATCTCGTGCATTCCATGTATTCGGATAAAATAAATCTAGCGATTGCTAAAAATGGTTATTAATATACTCCCCGATGCTCTTGGAATTTTTATTTTTTTGATTTCAAGGTAATAAATGGCTAGTTGAAGTTGTATAGACTTCAAGGCGGGTGTTTCACTGCGAACAACCAAGCTCTGTTGTAGTTTCACGATGTAAAATGAAATATATATAATAAAGCATGTTTTATCAAAGCCACCTCATGTACGTCTGAAAACATTGTGTCTACATAGTGCTGGACAGTTTATTGAGATGTCTAATTTGTAATTCAGCACAATTGTTCATATATTGTTGACATTACACTTTCACTATTTGATGTGTACAATGCTGTGTACTATGATGATAAATTTTATGGTATAGTTGTAATTTATTCTACAGGCAGTAATACCAAGTCCATACAGCAATGGTAACAGTCCAAGCAATGACAATCAGGCAGGTGAGACGCGATTTACCTATTTCCCTGCACCGGCATCTGACGCTTCAACCACCGCACAGTCAGAGGGCTCCCTCACACAAGCTGCCGGAGGTAAATAGTTCTTAAATGTAGTTGAAGTGAGCTGGCTGCAGTCAGAGTGTATCTAGCGCACAGGTCTGAGGGAACCCTTTTATGTCGCCATACCCCACAATACTGAAATACATCAACTATGGTATAGTATATGCTATATCCAAGGCTTTACTTGGTTGTAACCATGGTTATATTTCTGATTTTTCTGTTGTCAGTTAACACTTCCGGTACATTTTCATTTCACATAGTCGGCATTTCATATTGCAATAGTTGGCATTCCATATTGCAATAGTTGGCATTCCATACTGCAAAAGTTGGCATTCCATATTGCAATAGTTGGCATTCCATATTGCAATAGTTAGCATTCCATATTGCAATAGTTGGCATTCCATATTGCAATAGTTGGCATTCCATTTTGCAATAGTTGGCATTCCATATTGCAATAGTTGGCATTCCATATTGCAATAGTTGGCATTCCATATTGCAGTAGTTGGCATTCCATATTGCAATAGTTGGCATTCCATATTGCAATAGTTGGCATTCCATATTGCAATAGTTGGCATTCCATATTGCAATAGTTGGCATTCCATATTGCAATAGTTGGCATTTCATATTGCATTAGTTGGCATTCCATATTGCAATAGTTGGCATTCCATATTGCAATAGTTGGCATTCCATGTTGCAATAGTTGGCATTCCATATTGCAATAGTTGGCATTCCATATTGCAATAGTTGGCATTCCATATTGCAATAGTTGGCATTTCATATTGCATTGTTTGCTTGTCATTTTCAGGTCAGTTCTATGTAATGATGTCACCACAAGATGTGCTGTCAAGTGGAGCCCAGCGAAGCATTGCTCCTAGAACACACCAGTACAGTCCGTAAGTATCTTTTCTATATTAACCATATATGTATAATTCATAAATAACAGAAATAATTTCACTATTGAAGATTAGTTTGTTATTAGCTGTGCTGTCATCAGAGATGACCAAGCAGAGTTCATGGATTGATCACACCTGTCGTCGTCCATCTGTCATATATCGTTCGTCAACTTTTTTCATTCAAATGAATTCTTCTCCAAAACCATCAGCTTAATTGCCTTGCCATTCACACCACACTTACATGGGATGGTCCTCTTTCAGATTTGTTCATTTCATGACGTCACATGCAGTGTTATCCCCAGGCCTCTGAAGCATCATGGTACAGTTATGCTTGGACACTTGCCTGTGATGATTTTTGTATTGTTTACAAGTGTCAGTCCAGTCTTGCACAACTTTAAAACAATAACATGTATTGATTGAAAGGTAATCCCGCCTTTGTTAGCCATACAAAAATAGTGATAAAAACTGAAGTCTACAAGAAGTTACCAACTTATTCAAGGGTGTGGAGCCTCAAAATCCAAAACAAATACTTGGGTAGTAATAATTTGATAAAACAATAATGTGATAAAGCAGTGTATGTCAGGATGATCTATCCCGATTTGCTGCATTGCGGTTAATTGCCCATGAAATTTTACTACATCCTTAAACCATTAAATATTGGTTAACAACTAAACCATTTAATAAACAACTTAAACCATTAAACAACAACAACTTAATCCATTTAATTTTGGTTAATATTTGTTAACAACTTTAATCCCGCCATACAATACACACATGAGATATCAGAAATAACACTACCATTTCTCGATATTTCTACTAACGTAGATGGTGATCAGATTTCTACATTTTCTACATTTTTACACAAAACCTACTGATTCACATTGTTATTTACAGTATGAATCATCACATCCTACTAGAATGAAGGACTCCATACCTTACTCACAGTTACTTTATGAGTTCTATGATATCAGTGGTTAATATGTTTGGCCATTTTTAGTGTATATTTATAATAATGCAGCAAATCTACATTGTTTTATTAACCAAAACTGTTTTTCGAGTTTTTCTTGAGTTGAAGTTTTGATAGAGTACGACTCATTGGGACCGCCGCCAAATCAAGTGCGTTCGGACTAGGACATTCAAACTCGCAGTTATCGTTCAAAAGATAATGATGGTGCGAAATATGTCTGGGTTTTTAAAGAAAATGCTTTGTCACAGAATAATAGTCTGTTAAAGGTGCTAAGTATGAAATAACTTGGGGACAAAAAAACAAACCTGCATAGAAATCGGAATAATAAGTCTTTTGATTATTGGAGACGCATTTCAATGGACTTGATTACAAACAATGTATGACGTAAATTTCACCAGGAAATTCCGCAGTGTGCTCTCGCAATCACGGACTTAGTCATTTTTACAAGATTCGTCATTTTTGATGTCGCGTGATAATTATGTAAACAATGACTGTCCAGTTTGTGCGAACTTGCACCTCTATACTTGGTCTTTTGATATATATAACCTAAATTACTGTTCTGAACGAGACCACAGACAGAGAATGTTTTATTTAAAAACGTCAGAAAACCCTTCTCGCTACCTTAATTCTAGTGGACATAATATTACAGATATGTCTATTTCTGGTGTATGTGTTGTCAATGGCAACGAAAATCAGCTCAGGCATGTCGAGGAGAAAACTATATTCCGCCTTGGAACTAAAGAACCCCATGGAATCAACAAACAGTTCAACTCATTTGTTGAGCTCACTACCTAAGGCGCGTTATTTGTTCTATTGTGGAATTTTTTGTGATTCTAATTTATGGTTCATGCGCGTTCTTATGTTCCTATGTTCTACCTGTGCGTTTTAACATTTTCTTCTATGCTATCGATAAAGAGCCATTGCTCGAAATGTCTAGCTATTTTTAATAGTTATTTAGGACTACAATTACCAAATATTATCTTCTATATATCATATTTATCAGTCCGAGCAGCGTTTATTTATTTATAAACAAATATTGGTTTAGCTGCTTTAGAATGTAACGTGTATGTCTTATTTTCAGTGGTAAAATAGATGGCACTAGAACAGCTAGAGATGAAAGAAGACGAGCCACACATAATGAAGTTGAAAGGAGACGAAGAGATAAAATAAATAACTGGATTGTGAAGCTATCAAAACTTGTCCCAGAGTGTGGACAAGACCACTCTAAGCAGGGACAAGTGGGTGGGGTAATTATAATTACATTATTACCATACTCGTTCGACCCAGCACTAAGGGTACTCAGCTCCAAAAATCCGTCCCTTTAAAAAAATGTTCAAATGACAATTTTAGTTCATCATGTGCCAAATTAGGGAGGGGGGGGGGGATATTTATCTATTTCGAGGAAAATTGTGAAATGAGTTGCGTCGCCATTGATCTCCACAACACTCTTACAAGGAAGAAACATGAATAATCACAAAAATTTGCAGATATTATAATTTTATTTATTTACTATCTGAATTTACGATGTGAACAATTTTAGGATCCCTGGGGAAAACGGTCAAATGTATTTGATCATACACAAATTTGATGCAAAGCAATTTTTGACTCCCATGTGCGAAGCACAAAATGGGAGTCTTTGCAGTTAGTGTGTCTGTATGTGTGTGTGTATGTGTGTATGTGTGTATGTGTGTATGTGTGTGTGTGTGTGTGTGTGTATGTGTGTCCGACTGTTCCACTGCTATCTCAAGAACCATACATCGGTTTTTGATGAAACTTGGTGCATAGATGCTCTGGGCCAATGCGCAGATTTGATTAGGTTTTGGTAAAAATCCATGCTCGTTAATTACCTAATTTGCATGATAATTAGCTAATTTTTAGCTGTTCTATGACTGTTCCACTGATATCTAAAGAACCACTCATTGGATTTTGATGAAACTTGGTACATAGATGCTCTGAACATATGCGCAGATTTGATTAATTTTTGGTAAAAATCCGTGCATATTAATTACCTAATTTGCATGATAATTAGCTATTTTTTAGTGGTTCCATGACTGTTCCACTGATATCTAAACAACCA